AAAAGGAGGTCTTCATTGGTTCTAGTTCCTCGGGCACTCTCTCGCATAGTGCTGGGCACTACCACATATGCAACAGGTGTTGTTGAGGTGGTAGCATGGTCGGTCCCCGATATCTCTGCCACAGTGCTAGCAAATCTTTCCACATGCTGCCCTTGGAGCCTGAGGAGGGGCCTGGATCATTGGTCTGGGCCTCTTATTCGGTTGGACCGGCACAATAGGTGCTGGTCTGCGAGGTGGAGCTGAGGGTCAGTGACTCCTGCTAACTGAGACGGGTGTTGAAACTCCTCTCCACAATCTGTGCCTTTGCTAGAACAGCTAAGTATGTCTTGAGCTCCAGTACCAATAAGTGTTGCTTAATTTCTGGGCGGAGGCCCCACTGAAATCTCCTGGCCTTCCTGCCTTCATCCATCAATGTCTCCAGGCAGTATCGCCCAGCTCTAGGAACTTACTAGCATATTCCGATACCGTCATATTTCCTGGACCAGCTGAATAAACTCCATCTCCTTTAGTGTCGGATGGGAGATACTCCGCATGGAAGGCCGCTAAGAACTGCTCCCAAGTGGCTGGTGTAGGCAGGGTGGCTGCTTGAGCTCCCACCAACGACATGCTTCCCCTACCAGCATGTAAGAAGCAAGGGCAGCTCTCTGCTTAAGAACCACTCTAAAGGTCTTGAAGGCTCTCTCAGTCTCCACTAATCAGTACTGGGCATTTTCGAAAGAGGATCCCCCTGCAAAAGTGGAAGGGTTCAGCCTCCTATACCTCTTTATGTAGCTTGGCTCGATCAAGGAAGGAGCTGAGTCCCGTGGAAGATGGACTGGGCCCGGCTGGGGATAGACTGGGGGGCCTTGTGGTGGCACCTGCTGATATGGTGGGGGCACCGGATTGTACTGTGGCGATGCTGGGCAGTACGGTGGCTGGGGCACTGGTTTATATTGCATCGGTGGTGCCGGGTGGTACCGTGGTGGAGCAGGCTCGTGCCGGGGTGGCTCGGGATCCGCTTGCTGTAGCAGTGGCTCAACCCGTGATAGTGGGGGAGGTTCGGGTAACTCCCTTCTCTCCTCTCGACCTTGCTGGGTGGCCATGATCATTTCCAGCATCTCAAATATTCTGTCCACATCTTCCCAAAGCGAATCATCCCAGGCTGCTCGGTTTAGTGGGGATCTTCCTCTTCTCATTTCTTTGCACCTGCATTTCACACGGAAGAGTTGAGTAACGATTTATCGGTAGGTATTTCTCTAAACATTATTGTATAAGGGATGAGTCCGAGGAACACGGCTCTGATACCAACTGTCACGACCCCGGAAATTTAAATGAAGATGTATGTATTAAAAATCTTAAATGCGGAAGCGAAATAAAAATTCTGATTAACATCCCTTACACAATAACCATAAACGTATTCAACGTATGAAAAAATAAACTAATTAAAAGAAATACTCGAAATAAAAACTATAAATAGAACTATAAAATCTTTAAGCATCTAACTCGCCGTCTTCCTGCGGAACGGGCTCGGGAACTACGTCTTCCTGATTTGAAATGGTTAAGTAAGGAATCAGCTACACTACCCCAGTAAAGACATCACACTATCTCACTGCCACAGAAATAAAGGTTGATAGAAAACAAAAACGACCAATATAGCATAATTTATAACAAACTCATTTATTAATAATAAAAACCTTTACTGTCCACTTGTCTCGGTGAGATTCATGAAAATAATATATGAAAACAATAACATTATAAACATCATAAAATCATATACACTTTGTAACATAACACATGTTATACTTTTACACTTCAATAATCAGACAATAATTCTACTCTTTTACCAGCCTACTAGTATCCATGGAGATCCATAAGGGGTCCCCGCTACACGTGAACTATTAACATTAATAACCTGATTCCAGGGCCGTCCCCATACCCCGTCCGGTATGGGCGCCAAAAACATAAACCTCAATACCTTGTCCGGTATGAGGGTGAAACGGGCTGTCCCCATACCCTGTCCGGTATGGACGCCAAAACACATAAGGTCTCCATACCCCATCCGATATGAGAGACCACGTTCTCGGTAGGGTTCCCTACGGATCCGGTCCGTCCACCATCTCCCAGGATATCTAGTCAGGCTGTCCACATTATCCATTTATCAATTCACATAACCTTTTTTCCATTTTATTTGATCTCAATTATCCAATCATGCACAAACACGTAAGCCAATAATGAACACCAAACAAAACAACACAACATCGGGTTCACCATAATTCAAACCATAATAAAAGAAACTATGATTCATGCATACAAAATCATAAAATAAATACATCAAATACCATACTGCATTTAAAACTGAAAGATAGATCAAACAACAACTGACTGAAAAATACATAAGGTTCGGGCCATTAGTAACCTTAATTAATTATACACATGTATTAATTCATGAAATGTCGTTTTATTATTTATTGAGCTTTAATACCGTGATAGGAAATAGGGTAAGAAATCTTTACTTGTTTCGGGGTCTGAAATCGGCTCTACAATGCGCCTACAGGCTGTCCCTAAATTTCTTGAATTTTTTTTAGAAAACTGAAACGCACTACCGGTACCTGCACATGTCCTAAAAAATCCTAAATCAGACCCACGACTCCTTTTCGGCCAATATCGGAATTCCAGTGCGGCGGCGATCCGCCTCGCATTGGCCGTTTTCGGCTAAATTCGACCAAAGTTGCATTGGTTTCTGTGATAAAACAACTCTAGGGCCCTCGGTGGGCCAAAAAATCACGAAAAACCGAGACTTACCGGCGGCAGAGCTCTCGGGTGCAGCGGCTTCTCCGGCACAAGTCGCGGTTTAATGTTTTGCTCCAGTCAACCTGTAGAGAAAATGACGGTGATCACAGTGGTGTAAAAATTGCATCGAATGGGAACCGGAAAGGGCTTCATCGGAGGCAAAAACCGAGGGAAGTCGCGGCGGCACTGCTGAACTTCGGAAAACCCTCCGGTGCTGTGGCGTGTGGCAGCGGCCGGCTCCTCCGGCGACTGGTTCTTCTTCTCCGGCGAGGGTACTGGCGGCTAAGGTTTGGGGTTGGGTGTGGGTGAGGTTATTTATAACCTTCCCCTTTTAATCTCAGCCGTCCATTATGATTTAATCTTGGCCGTCCGATTGCGATTAAAATGAAAATAAATCTAGATCGTCCATCGCGATGCGATCTAGGCCGTCCGTGCGTGATTCAATCTGGGTCATCCGCACGCGTAAGATCTGGGTCGTCCGTGTGAGTGAGATTTGGGTCGTCCGCACGCGTGAGATCTGGACCGTTCGATCGCGTGCACGCGGATCGCTCACGTGGCTCCGTCCGCGTGGTCTACCGTGTCAGCTTCCTTGCCACGAGGCGTGTTCTAGTTGGTCGAGGTTGCTAACTGGGATTCTGACGTGGCACAACTTTCCTAAATTGCGTTGTGAACCTCCGGTTTTTTATTTTCTTTTTAAAAATACTCATATAATCTAAATTTTCACCATTTTTTTTCAAAATCAATTTCAATTAAATTCTAAAAATAATTTTGCCTTATTGTATTATTATTATTATTTTTATTTTTTTTAAATTAAATTAAAACCTTATAAATTAAATATTAAAAAATTAAACAAAAATTTTAAAATAAATTAAAAAACAAAAATAATAAATTTGGGTGTTACATAAATTTATCATAAAATCTATTAACTCCACATTTCTTGCATTTTTATATAAAAGTTAATATCTATAACCATATATTTAAATTTTTTAAAAATTCAATCCTCTATGTAACTTAAGCATCTATCTACAACAAATTCAATTAACTTCATGTAATTATACGAATCTAAATAATGTCAACACCAAATTATCGCTTACATTTGATTTTTTTTATATATTAAAAAAAAAATAAACGATGAATTTTTTTATATGAAATCAGCAGATTCCACCTAATAATATAGTAAATTCGAATAACATAATATATTTATAATTAAACTTTATAAATTATTAACTTTTCATAATATAAATCATAACACAAGATATTTATGATATAGCTAATGCTTTCATTAATTTCATTAATTCATTTTAATGATCTAAATATCAATGGCAAGAAAGATTAAATTTCTTAATTTCATGTCGAACATTTGACAAAACATAAAAATAAATAAATAAATCGTAAAATAAAACAGAATTATTAAACTGAATTAATAATTAAAAATTATCATAATTAACGTATTTAATGTAAAATTAAATGAATTATATTAGTATTATTTTTATAATTATTTTAACATATATATTATATATGCAGTTATTACACTCTGTCAATTTCAATTGATTAAAATCCATGAAGCACCGGTCCAGTACATAAGCACATAAGCATTTCAATAACAAAGTTCGTAGGATTAGATCCCCTCATAATCTCTTACTTTCTTTTTTCCATTATATATATATATATATATGTATGTATGTATGTATGTATGTACGTGTGTATGTATATGTATACGTATACGTATGTATGTATGTATGTATAATAGTTGTTCAATATTTAATACCCGTACAGAGCAACACAGGCATACAGATGTGAGTAAAGAAATGGATAGGATTAATCAGTCAAAGCTGGAGTGGACCCATGACTGACGAGGCACTGCATTTGTACTTCCAAGCTGGACACCAGAATCAAATTTTATTACATTCCACTTTTTAACAAAATCAATCAATCACTATTTTTTTAAAATAATTTACTTTTTCCAATATTAATTTTTTAATAAAAAATTTAATTTTTTTAAAAATTAAATATTCACTTAAATTTGATGAGTTTAAAATTTAATTAATTAGTGTGTTAGTGTGATTAAATTAAGCTTTTGAACAGGAAATTATATAAAAATATATATATATTTCAAAAATACATTACCAAATAGGTACACCATGTTATGAAATTAATAACCCAACTAACATTTTATTGATAGCCAAAAATTTACTAATAACGTATTGGAGTTAAAACCAGAAAATAGGAGAACACGAGAAAAAAAAAACCTAAAAAAAGCTCCTTTAAAGGACCACTCTAGATGGCAAAAAAAACAAAACAAAACCCAGATCAGCTGTATCAGAATTTCAAAAGAAAAACCTGAAGAAAACCCTGCCCATGTTTTTGAAAACCACAAGAAATAAACAGAAAAAGGTTTCGTTTATAATTTCCGCATACTTCCCCAAATGGGTTTCCCTAAAGAATCCTTCTTCTTCCTCCTCCTTCTCATCTCTGTTTCCGTGATGATCCACTTGACAATCTTTTTTGGCTTTTTGACCGTTGCCGCGACTGCTGTAGATTATACCAACTTGGTTTTCAAGGGCTGCGCGGACCAGAACTTTCAAGACTCATCTGGGTTGTACTCGCAGAACCTCAAAACCCTATTGTCATCCATGGTTTCGCAGTCTTCCCAGAAGATTTTCTGGACAACCACGTCTGGCGACGACCGGACTGCCATCAGAGGACTCTACCAATGCAGAGGAGACCTCACCACCGGTCAGTGCTCCACCTGCATCGGCAAGATCCCAGAACTGATTAACAAACTCTGCGGTAAAGCCGTCGCGGCGAGAGTGCAGCTCAGTGGGTGTTACTTAAGGTACGAGGTGGCCGGGTTCAAGCAGGTTGCAGAAACAGAGCTGTTGTACAAGGTTTGTGGGTCGATTCAGGCGAGTGGAGGTGGGTTTGAGGAGAGGAGGAAGATGGCGTTTGATACGGCGGTGAATGGAGTGAAGAACAATGGCGGTGGATTGTTTTACACAGGGGTTTATCAGTCTGTTTACGTGTTGGGTCAGTGTGAAGGTGATTTGGCGAGTAGTGACTGTGGTGATTGCTTGAAGAGTGGGTTTGAGAAAGTTGAAAGTGAATGTGGTGAGTCAATTTCAGGACAGGCTTATCTCCATAAATGTTATGTTAGCTACAGTTATTACCCAAATGGGGTGCCCACCATTAATCCATCATCAGGTAAAAATAAGTAGAAAGTTATCATTTTGTTTTCTCTTCCGTGTTTTTTGAAGAAGAAATGCCCTTTAATTTATGCTTTTATAGAAGGTGTGTGTGTGTGTGTGTGTATATATATATATATATATGCATGTATGTGAAGTTAGGAAGGCGGGTGCTTACGAGGGTGTTTAAATGACTGTAATATGGTTAATTGAATAGGATCATCAAAGCAACACACGCAGAGGACAGTGGCGATTGCAGTTGGGGGAGTAGCAGCTTTTGGGTTTTTGGTGGTTTGTCTGTTGTTTGCCAAATCTGTGCTGAAGAAACGTGTCGGTGAGAATCAAGACTCGGCAGCAACTTTTGACATCTTATTCATTTGTGTAGTTAATTTGGCATCTCATTCATCGTGTTTCAAAATCATGTGCAGATTATTGACTACCGAGAAGCGAATTGGAAAATATTTTGATCAAGATTGGCAACCCGGTGATTAGATTCAATGGAGTTGGGTGGGTACATCACAATAGAAGAAAAACAAAATCAAAAGAGGGAGCCTCTGTTTTGAAAGAGAAAAGCAATTTAGGGTTTAGGAAAAGCAATTGAATTTGTGGGACAACATGTCTATATATATGCTACTAACTTTTATCTCTTTGTACATGCACAAAATTTACACAATCAGATACAACCAAGTAAACAACTTTCGTCTCCTTCTAACATCCCCACTCCTTCTTCACCTAAATTTTCTGTCTCTACTCAATACACATTTATAGTAAAAATGACACCGGAGATTGGATTTGATTACGGCACCCATTATATCGAGTGTTAAATATAGTCACCAGTTAGTCTATTAGCATCAATCATCCGTCAAATTTGTCTATACAGGAACTTTAAGAGATTAAGTCCGCAATTGGTCAACTAATATAAGGGTTAATAATATACCTTAAGCAATCAATAATGTGGTTCTGTGTCATTTCACATCCAAATGAGTTGCTTTCATAATAAAGTAAGAGCACCTAAAGGAAGGGGAAAAGTAAAACATATTTCATTGCTTCTCTTCATTGCTAAGGTATTAAGGCAACCGAGGGGATTGATTTTGTGAAAAGCCCAGGATGCATCTGGGGCCACATCTATTTACTATATATAATAAAGTCCTGCCTTTAGGTCCCAGCAAAGGACTTGATGTTTGAAAGGATCAAAACTGGTTCGTTCACACTAAACAACTTTCTCTGCCAACCTAGCCCGCAGAGAAAAAGAATCGTACACAATGGATCCTTAGTTTATCTGATCTGTATTTTGCTCCCTGCCTCATGACAAGAATCTTAAGATCTAATGATTAGCAGATAAGGGTTCAGAAACCATTAGGCAACTATCAAATAATTCAGAGATGCTACTCCTAAGTGAATGCTAGGACAGCAGGACCTGCCCCAAGAGACTTTGATCTGAGTTCCGATATCGATACTTGCAGAGACATTACATTCACAACAAAATGAAATGTCACTTCGTGACAATCTTGAACAGAACTTATAATTGGGCAGGTAACAGCAATAGCCTATTAAGAATAACAAAGATCACAGAGCAGAAGAGAAAGTAAGCTAACATCAACGAATGTACATTCCAGGAGAAAGACCACACTGGCAATTGCATACCAATGACTGGTCATTCCTGAATGTTTCCAGCAGTTGGCTGCCATTTGCTCAATAAGATATGTAGCCTCAACAAGAGGAGGTCCAATGGCAACTCTTCTGAAAAACAAATTGTGACATTCTTAGCTAGTGAGAAGGATAATTGGCAGGCATCATGACTTAGATGCAGGCTGAACCTTATTTCTAGTCCAAACCTCCATGACCAATTTCATCCATAAGGCCACATCTTCAGAATCAATACTAACTGTTATGCATACCCACATTGCTTGATAGAAATTTCATGGCGTACTTAAGCTTGAGATCTCAATACTTCAACTCACAGAGATCCTGGATTATTTCAAGCTCTTCTAATTTAATAATGTTCCAAGTCCTCCAAAAACCTAGCTTTTCAAAATATAACCCGACATAGTTGCAGCTATTTGGACCTGGCTAATTCTCAATTTCCTAGGTCCATACTACAAAATCAAACAAGTAGGAAACAGTTCCTCATCACTTCATTCAAGACAATGGTCAAGAACTTACAACCAAAAAAATCAAAAAGCTTAATTTTTCTTTTTGATCTGACAGAGATTACCTGAACTAGCAAAGAATAATCATGTTGGGTTGTGTAATTTGTCGACAAATAAGGATCTATAGTTCGCAACAAAAATTGTCAAACACACAGATATAAAAAATCTAACGTTAACCAAGGCAAGCAAACTTGTATGGTGATACACATTTGAGTAAATTGACAGTAAAATCCAGTAATTCCGTAGAGCAACTCACAACGAAATTCATCCATTTCCACTTGACACGAGAAAGTGTTATTCTTTAACTCACAAAAATCAGAGGAAACCTCAACAACCACATATAAAAGCAGAAACAAACCTTTACAATGAGACATTTGTGACAATTGATCAGGAAAATACTATTCCTGTTAGGTTGAGGGTGTCCGCAGAACAACTTAAAGGCAATACATCCACTTTCATTCTTCATAACAAAATTTGATTTGATCAACTCATGAGAAATGTACTGCAGATGATACCGCAACAATCACATGTAAAAGAAGAAACCAATCCCTAATGGAAAACTCTCTTAAGCAGTCAAAACATCCAAAGCTAAAAATGGCATCAGCAACTTATGTTCTTTACCTTATTTTTACTGGATTGAGCAGTATACATTGATCAAATGTCCCGCAATAGAGAAAATCATTCAAAATGACTAAAGATTGTAAAATAAGCATGTGCAACTACTCAACCAAGTCTGTCAACTATATATGTTACATACAGCTCATTCTTTCATGAAAGAGGTCCCTAATACAATTTTTTTTTTTTTTTGAAATACCAAATACAAATATTAGTGGAGACTCTAATACCTCATTCTTCCATGAAAGAGACGGCCACAAAAAGGTTTTTATTTGTGTTCTTCAAACTCTCAACCTTCTAGATGCAATAGTGCAAACGAGAACATAAAAATTACCAGCTGAAATTAAGAGCCATTTTATTCCTGATGCACCATTTACTTTATCCCTCCTGATATCGGAAACAACTCACAAAAGCCCTATTCAGAACAAAACAACATGGCACAGCAGAAAAATGCATTGAAAACCAAGTTCAATCATAACAAGGGAAAGGGGGAGGGGGGGTAACCCTAAAAAGCAATATAAATTATTGTTGTACAGTATCCTCAAACCTCTAACACGACTCGACAGCATCGCTCACTTGGAACTGCCACTAAATGAACCTAAGAAAGAGCAACAGAAAACAAAAGATGACGACGACAAATATCATTTTACTTTTGAGCAGGTTGTGATGCAGACATCGGCGGGGCTCCGAGAAGGCTGGCCTGCTGAAGCTCGATATCGCTAAGCTGCTGGTCGCGATCCATCACGATGATTAAAGGAACTACGAGGATGAGAAAGGTAGTGCCGGCGATCCACGCCGCCTTGCCGGTGCTACGCAGCAACTTCTTGGATACGAAAACGGCGTCGTTAGCGGCTTGCTTTCCGCGAGAGACGATTTGGGAGTTGGTGACTTTGGTCAGAATTCCAGGATCTGCCTTCCCGGCTCCGCTTCTCCTGGATTGTGAGGCCATGGTGTTGTGAGTTTTGGTGCGGAACCTGACGACTTCCAAAGTTCAGCGGAGCAAGACGATGGAGGAAGAAAAGAAGAGAAGGGTTTTGTGCAGGAACTGGGTTTAGGTTTTTTGGGCCGTTCCTAAAGTGATGGACAAGAGTGTAATTATTTAGTTTTATATTTATTTAAGACATTTAATTTACTTCTATTTAGATCGCATTTAAATATTTGAGAAAATAGGTTAAAATTTTTCATTTTAATTTTTAAAATATAAAATATAATTTAATTATTATTTTTATTAAAAAATATTTTCAAACAGAAATTATTAATACCAGTAAGTATAGTAAATAATTCATTTACCTACCATGTGTTAAATAATTTATTTTATATGACAAAATTAATATTTTTTTATAATTTTAAATTAAATATTTAAATAAAAATTCATACATCTTATTAAATATATGACGTAATTTATTAACGATAATATGTATTGTCTAAAGGAGGAGAGAGAAGTATTCCCTGTGCAGGTTCCCTCCCAGAAACGCAAACATAATTGAAAATTGTCAGAAAATCAGATTGGAGAATCCTTCCATCTTGGTTTTCAAGTCAAGAAATCTGCACCTTTTTCTTTTTTCTTCCCCCCCCCCCCCCCCCCCCACCTCCCCCAAACCACCTACTTCATTTTAAGTACTCTCTGGATTACCCATTTTTCTTCATCCAATTTCTGCATTTTGAACTTACAGATCTCATCGACGGCCAGACTTCACTTTGAATTCAAACCAAAAGTGGGTTTCCTCTCATCTCCTCATCCCTCTAATCGTACTTCTTTTTTTGCCCTCTCGATTATGTTTTTGTATGATATATAAGTATATCCTTTTTTACTCGTGAATCTAAGATTATGTATATGTATATTTATTGGAATTTCAAATTGGGTTCCTTTGTAATTTTCTTAAACATGAAAACTTCTTGCTTCCTTGTTTTGTGTCCATTCAAGTGCGCCCAAGGGTGGAGATGAGAAACAAAGAAGAGAATGATGGCTCTGTCTTTCTCAGTTTCATTGAAGCAGTAACAGGGAAAGCTCTCTCTTCCCAAGGTATTATATTAAATACTCTTATCTATAAAGCTTTTCTCTTTGTTTTTTCTTCAAATTTTTCTTAAAAAATTTACAAGTAATTACCAAATTTTTCATCTTCGCTTTGATCTTATGATACCCATTTACCCAATTGACACTACTTTAATTTCAAATATAATGCTTTCTTATGTTCTACAGTATTCTAATCCTGAGTTTAATTAAAATTTGCAGTTAAAGAGCACTCAAGTGGATCCTTAACTTCAATTAAGAGACCCACAGAGATTTATGTCCCAAATATACCAAACCATTCTCTTAATTCTGCATCCAATGAAGGTTGCTTTTTTTTTTTTACTTACTTTGTTTTAAAAAATCATTAGATTCAATATTTAATATTTTATTATCGAATACAGTACAAAACGATAAGAAACAAATAAATCAGTACGATAACAAGTTAGACGGTAGAGCTAATTTTGTTTTCCGACCAAGGGCAATTCTGTCTAGCCCAGGTAATTATATCTCACTAATTTTACATAATTTTTTGTGATCTTTCATTATTATTCTAAACAATAATAATTTTTTATTGATATTCTAGTAATATAATGTTAATGTTCTATTATTTTATTGTTTAAACATTTTTATTTTAAATTTTGTTTGCAGATAACGATAGAGTCATCGGTTGTAGAAACAAAGTAAGTAGTGAAAAATCTTTGGCTCCAAATAAACATAATTTTAGAGAAGAGAAAGAAATGAAGACAGAAGTTATTACCACGAAGATTAAATCTTCGACTTCAAAAATATTGCCTTCAAATGTAATAAAAAACTATAATTTGAAAAAACAAGAGATTTTGCCAAATAGAACTTGTCGAGTTCGAATCAATGGTTCCACTACAACAAGAAAAATTTAAGTAAAAAATGTAATAGTACTTGCTTTTACTTTGTTGAAATTTCATCAATATTCGGACATTTTTGGTTTCTGATAGTTCGATTGATTTTCATGTTTATGCATTTTTTTTCCTTCTCCTATTGGTTCTTTGTACTTATTGAGATTTTTTCACTTATGCTATAAAAAATTTTAATTGTTGTTTGAATATATAAGAGTATATATGTTGAGTTTTAGATAAGTACATACAAATGTATATAATGGGATTGATGTAAAAATATAAATATTTTATTATATAGTTAGAGTTTTTTATAGATAAATATTATAATGAATTATTTTTTTTTTAAATTAAGTTTGTTCATTTCGAGATAAATGTCACATATGACTATATAAAATTTTAATAATATTATGACACACTCTTATTAAAAGTTATAATGTCAAGAGTTTTAAAAATAATGAGTACGTTATGATTAAAAGTCACTATATCTATAATGTAAAAAAATAAATAACTAAAAATTCAACTAAGAAATTTTTTTTCTCTTCGAAAAATATGGTTAAAGGATATTAAGTAAAACAAAAAAAAAATCAAATTTTAATATCAATTTTTGTCATGATCAACCAATGTTTATAACTAAATTGTTGATACATTCATTTATATATAATAAGGTGTGATAAAGTTTATTGTATTTTCGTATATATTTTTGTGCAAAAGTTATTTTTATTATATTATAATTATTAATATATGCGCATAAATTAATTAATGAATTCATAAATTTATTTTTTAAAAAAAATAAGTGATTGATGGTTAATTAAATTATCAATTTAAACGATATTAAATTTGACCTTTAATTTTTATCTTACTTTAAACAGTAAACCTAATCATAGTTGAAAATAGATTCAAGATTTATGCGATGAGAGAAAATATGGAAAGGGAACAAAAATTTTCTCCCATGCCCGTTCATATTTTATGATAAGGTCGGCATGGGGATTTTCCTCCCATGTTAAAAAAAAAAAAAGTTAGTTTATGGGACATATTTCTCCATGGAAATTCTTATATGATGGTGTTCTTCTATAAAATATGTTTTCATGATTATCAAATTTTCTCTTAGCAAAGTTCAAAAGTATATTTCAAAATACAAGTTTAAATTTAAGAGATGTTGATCAAGAAAATTGTGTGGTTTGAGAGTCTTTTATTTTATAGAAAAATATTTATATTTTTTTACGAATATTTTCACAATTAAAGTTTTGTTATCCAGTTAAAAAGTATTATCTAGATAGATTCGTCTATATTTTCATGAGAAGTTTCTTTCACTATAAAAAATGTTCTCGTAAATAGTAGTTTTTTATTTTTTTAAAATAATTTTTTTTATATTGTTTAAATTAAAATTTTAAGTTATAACTTTAATAAAAAATTTGCTTACTTAAGGTTATTTTAAATAAGAGAAAATTCATATACTATCTCCTATATATTATTAATAATATGCACGCGAAGTTAATTACATAAAATGCATGGTAGATATTGGTGTAGTGATTTTTTTTTCATATGTAATTTAGTCATTATTTTGAATAATAATAAATACAATGGTTTGATGTTTATCTTTTATTACTAACCTATGAATGTTCAAATTTATTTTAATGATACAAACATTATTCAAATAAATGATCAATATGTGTATTTATTTAAAAAATTTCGTAAATTTGAGTCAAACTGTACTCCGTATATATATTTACTTGAATGTATTTCTATTGTATCATAATTAATATATATATATTAGATAATTAATAAATACACACATTTATTTAAAAAATTAATTTTAATTATAAATATAACTAGTATATAAGTATTAGTGACAATATAACTCTCTTAATTATATATTTATTTATATTTTAAAGTACTCTTGCAACTATTTTAAATTATCAATACGTTGTTTGCCACATGAAAATATTTTTTGTATTTTTATTTTTAAATCTAGATATGGCTATTGCCTATATTTGTTAGCTGAAGTATGTAAAAGTTGTATATTTATGAAATAATTAAAATATTTAAAAAAATTATAGAAAAACTAAAAATAGCATTTCAAAAATTTCAAACATCATATTATTTTTATTATAATTTTCTTCTTTCTAATTAACTTTATACATAATTGAAATACATATAAAAATCATTATATTGTGTATATAATATGATTAATTTTTTTTTTTTTGTACATAATGCAAAGCGGATCAGGTTTAAATTACAAAATCTGCCATCAGCCAATGTGTTTTCTTCCCGAGGCTTAATCAATTTGGACCGATCATGTTGGGCCTAAACTGAACTAAAAAGGGCCTACCCAATAGTTGTCTCACGTGTCACCACCTCAGGAATCAGTCACCTGATGTGTTGGCACCCGCCATCGAGTCCAAACGACACCGTATACTAAGTCTTCCAATCCAACGGTCCTGATTAAAACACATCCTGACAGTTTTACATGTCTATATTCATCGATGCTCCACTGTATTAAACCCCTCACACTGAACCTGATTAGGCACCCTAGTCTCTCCTCTAATTCTTTCTAATTTCTCTCTCGCTCCTCTTTTATTAACCCCACCCTACCGAATAACAAAAATCCAAACTGGAGGCAAAGCTTCGAAGGAACTGTTTTAACACCTCTCTCTCTCTCTCTCTCTCTCTCTCTCTGTCTCGAACTTTCTCCAGACGACGCCGTCTCATAGCCTCCCGGTACTTCTCTCCTCTCAGTCTCGTCTCTCTTTCTCCTTCTCCCCCCTTCCTCTATCTCTTCCTGCTTCTTTTATGGTGGATGGTTTGTGTTAACAAGTTTAATTTGTTGAAAATTGCATATTAGGGTTTGTTTCTTGTTACTCGTGTTTATTCTTGCAATGCCTTTCTGTTATTTGAAATTTCGATCTAATACTAGTTTTATGTGGCATACTTGCATGGACCATCCCATCCTATAGATTTATTTGTTTTAGTTAAACCGCTTTGTGTCTGGACTTTTTTTGTTTCGGATAGGAGAAATTGGTATGCTATTTTGTCAGACATGTGTTTTCATTATTATTTTCTATCCTATACATAGTGTTGGACGACCTTTGCAGTCTGTAGGTTATTTCAGGTCGCTACTCTGGTCTCTTATTGGAATACAACTTGAAAAATAGCATTGACAACGCATCCTCGTTAGGATTGAGAGAGTTCTTTAAAAAGTGGTAGTAGAAAGTTTTAGACTACTTTTCTTGAATGTGGATATTGTTTTTAGAATAAACAGCCCAAATACTTAGCTGAATGGTTGACACATACTTTAGTCTATAAGAGTTTGTAGATTTGAGTTGGGCTGTTATTCCATGTGTTCTTATTTGGAGATTGTTTTCTGACAGTGAAATTAATATTTATATATTACCTAAATGATGGGCGTATGAATTTTTAATCAAACAAAGAATTATTTACTTGCTATAAATGAGTATTAAAGGTTAGCTACTGTTGTGGTAAACTCTGTGGATTTTGAGAGGTGACTAATATATAGTAATATGGTCATACAACTGTAAAAATGGGCATCGAAATTGTATCTCCGATAAGAGTGACTGCTTTAAAAGGTGAAATAAACTATAGAATTTTAATTTGGATATAAAGGTGTAAGTGAAGGAATTCAATTTTGAAAAATCCCATCACTGGGTATCTCTTTTAATTGGAAGTTTACTGGCGGATTTATATCTGTCAGAATGTGCAGACTTGTGTATCAATATAAGTGCTTTCACCATTATCTACAGGGTATATTAGAAAATTTTCCAGCTACTTGGTTTTAATGATTTTTTAAATTATTTTTACGCTTCCCTGCAGTTTATATTTTGATTATTATCCACATATATTATGGCAATTTTACATGTGTTTTCTGGTATTCTTGCAGTCCATATATTAAGGGTAAAGGTCAATTCACCTGGTATGGGGGATAGTGAAACAGTCATTGCGGAAGCTTCTCCTGTGGCAGCCTATTCCTCTGTGGGGTACACATCCACTGCCTATGGTGATGCAAACTCTAATATTTCCAATACTATTTCATTTTCTTCTGAGGCTACTGCAGACTTTACTGCATGTGCAGCTCCAGCTGATGCAACTAATACAGTTGCTAGTATAGGTGAAGGAAATACCTACAATCTTGATCACAATTCTGCATTCCAAGAACCTTATGTTGGTATGGAAACCCCAAGTAAGCCGAACACAGAGAACGTTGTTGCTACTGAAGGTGCAGCAATGGATTCATCCAAAGCTGCTGGTTATGAGTCGACTGTAAATGGTAATATTGTCAGTGAAATGGGAAATGTAATGCTGATCGAAAATGGAAATGCCACAGATAACTTGACTGGAGTTTCTGCTGCAACTGGGTATGCAGATGGTGCTGGTATGTCTTTATGGTCTTTTATGGTCTGCCATATTGAATATGATGAAATTTAGTATAATCTTGTTGTACGATTGATTTATTTTATAAGTTTTGAGTTTATGGTATTGAGAGAATCGTGAGATGCTAAAAGCCTTAAGTAACCATCTGGAACTGGGAGTTATTCTGTATATTTTTTTTGGTGGTTCTCTAGCTCAGTTTAACTCTTGTCTCTTTACCTAAAGGCTAAGGTATTACAAAAAATTGAGCACCTTTTTCCCATTCAAAACAGAAGGAACTTTTCCATTGGGTTGAGATTTTGTAGCTGTTTTTTACCTCTATCACAAGCCTTGTTCTAAAGCAATCAACTAATAAATTGGGAACTGTATTCTGGCCATATTTTCAGTGTTGAGATTTTTTTGCTGTCTTTTACTTCTACTGCATTTCATGTTCTAAAGCAATCAACTATTAGTTTTGGAACTGTTGGCTGACCATATAAGATAATTTCATGATTACCTTTTGATTTACTTTTAACTATACTATGAATTCTGAAGTTCTTTATGATATGCCTGTTTGTTTACGACTTGTTCTTCCTTTCTAATGATTTTAGATTGCAAAATTTTTAAAATGTTTCATGCTTGGTTACTCTTTATCTCCAGAGGCAGCTCTGTCAGGTGAAGAGGATAGGTTGTGGAGCATTGTGAGGGCTAATTCTCTAGATTTTAATGCATGGACTGCTTTGATTGAAGAGACAGAAAAGTTGGCTGAGGTATTTATCAATATAATTATGCCTAACTTTTTAATTGTCTATGTTTATGTTTTTTAAGCTTTGCCAAATCATCATGCAATTTGAGAAGTAGTGTGTTTTGGGGCTGCCAGTAATAAATTTAGTGTTGGATCAGAGAGTTCAAATAGGCTGCTCTTTGTTGCCTTTTGGGATGAATTTTTTTCTCTAAGTGGCTCATGATAATAGTGGGAGCAGAAAATAAGGTGTTTTACCACTTGCACAAGCCGGCTCTCTTGTACATCATTTAAAGCTGAGACATCTAGACCTTTCTGAATTTAGAATCAGCCAATATTTAATAAATTCAAAACATTCAAGTAATATGATAGCCATGTGGCTGGAATCAGTCATTGTCATTCAAAAAGGATTATGCGTCTTTATGTAAAGGGTGGCATGTTTAGAATAGTGATGATTGATGAGGCATTTACTGAGGGATCGTCAATTAAGGTTCTACTAGATTTTTGTCAACTTTTTGTGTTTTTTTTTTAAATAAAAAATATGAATCTGTATTGATGTAAGATGCTAAGGGAGCACTGTCCATGTACAAAATTTACATCTCAATTAGCATATCTACAATGTCACTTAAATCATCAAAACAATCAAGGTTATGCCCTAATATGTTTTAGCCAAAATAGTGAAACCGGTTATCCTTGATGTTGTTAAAGTCAGACTCAACTCCATCAAAAGCCCTGTTGTTTCTTTTATTCCAGATGACCTAAAAAATAGTGAGAGGAACGAATCTGATTGATTTAGTATTGCTACCTAGACCTTCCCAGGCCATCAATTCGGTGCTAACTTTTTCAGACATTACTCAAGAAACCCCCAACAGCCCAGGAATCATGTTGCAAAGTTTGTGAGTAGTAGGGCATCTCAATAGAAGGTGATTGCGGGTTTTCATGGCATTTTTACAAAGGAAGCATCTATTGACAATAGTAGGGACATCTCAACTTTTTGTGGTTGCATTATATTTCTTCCTTGATTCATTTTGTTATCCTGAATCCGTTGGCTGTCCTACTGTTTTTATTTTGAGTGTTGCTTCAATTTCGTCACCCTTGTTTATATTGGAAATTGTTGCTACTTCCAGTTATATTTGCATTACATCGATAGTATATAGGACTTTATTTACAATTACGTTTTCATCTTATTTTTTAACAAATTACTCTAAAGTGTCAGTTTTGTTGATCAATATGCAGCTTGCGGCTTATGAATTTTGTGTCTTCAGTTTTCAATGATTGTTATTTCTTCTACTTATTTCGTTCGAGTTTTATTTTCAGGGTTCCCACATGTCCACAGAACTGACATTTAATGTTTATCCCACATGTAGGACAACATATTGAAAATCCGAAAGATTTATGATGCATTTTTAGCCGAATTTCCTTTGTGTTATGGTTACTGGAAAAAGTATGCCGACCATGAGGCACGTGTTGGTGCTATGGACAAAGTTGTGGAGGTTTATGAGAGAGCAGTTCAAGGGGTGACGTATTCAGTGGACATTTGGTTACATTATTGCGTGTTTGCCATTAACACATATGGAGATCCAGACACAATTAGAAGGTAATAGCTGCTCATGTATCCATTATTGCTGTTGGTCTGAGTCAGGAAACCATGATTGTTTGATTTCCATAGTCACAACGATCCCGTGATTTTTTTCTTTTTGCTTTCTAACATTATTTCAGTATTCGTGCAACAGTGATTCTTCTCATTTATGGCGGAAAGGTTTGAAAGGAATGCACTTAGAAATGCTTTTTATGATTTGGAACCCTTGATAAGGCTACTGTTGAGTAGCTGTTCAATTTGTTTTAAAACTTATTTTCTGACCTCATTATAGACCTTACTTTCTCGCTCCCCTTCTCTGAAAGTCTGTGTCATAGTCACATAGTTATTCATGAGCATTGCCTGTCTTTAACTTTGACAATCTGAAGTGCATCAATATCCAAAATGCTGCCGGGAAGATCTTCGTCCAGATAAGGGCTAAGATGGCCTCTATCACTGCTTCATTTCGGACTAGTATGAATTTTATCGGGAAGGTAAATGCAGCATTTGGAAGTGTCATCATATGCTGTTAGAATCCTTCAACATTTGTGCTCCGATCTCCCATATTTTATTGA